TTACTCCTCGTACTTTGTATTTCTAGTTGATTAATAGTAAAAAGAAAAAATTACCTTATATAACTCCATTACTACTTTTGCTCTGATATTTCCTAATAAATATTTGTAACATTAAATCTTGCATATAATGGCAACAAACAAAAATGTACAATACTGCTACCATAAATCAAATTTCAGAGACGAGAAATTCGATCATGTGCCATTTTGTGCGAGCATACGACACGTATATAAACACGGACGACTTAACTTTGACACTCCGCATTCATTCAATTCGCGAATTTTGCCAGAATGGTTCAAAATTTTTTTCTTCAAAGTCTCTCCATGGACTACAACAAACTCCTAGAAAACGGCAATGAATACAACGTGATCGTCGAAGTCGGAAAGGCCCCTCTCCAGAAATCATATAAAGTACACTCTGTAATCTTATGTTATAGATGCCCTCGCCTTTACGAAGAGCAATGCAAGCAAGAAAGCATTATTAAGACCATCAAAAAACCCCTTATAACCACCGATGTTTTTGATGTCATTATCAAGTAAGCTTTCAAATTGTCTCGGACATTCGGAAAGGGAGATTCCGCTTTTTTTAATTAACTCGTAATTCCCACAATGATTATAGATTTATCTATAGCGGTGTTATTACACTAGAGAACGTTGATCCTCCGGTGATTTTTGATATTTTAAAGGCGTCCGGAGAGCTTCATCTTGAAGAACTGACTACGACCATTGAACATTACCTCATCGAAAATCACAGCTCTTGGTTACATACAAATTTTGCCGAAATTTATAAGATTTCACAAAAAGACGATTTTAAGAACCTTAAAGGATTTTGCGATGAATTTTATGTCAAAAATCCAAAAATGTTGTTTCAATCGGAAAATTTTATCGCCGTTGATGAAAAAACTTTGGTATCCTTGTTAGAACGGGATGACTTTTTCGTGGAAGAATCGATAATTTGGGATTATGTCGTCAAATGGGGAATCTCTAAAGATCAAACATTGTCCGATAATGTTGGCTATTGGTCTGATGTTGATTTCTTGTCATTGAAGAACACTCTCCAACGTTGCCTACCGCACATCCGATACTTTCAATTCTCTCCTGATGACGTCATCAGTAAATTATATCCTTACCAAAAGATTCTTGAACCTAATTTGTTTAAAGACCTAATGAAAACGCATATGGTTGCTGACGCTCAGGTCACATCGATAATTTTACCGCCTCGAGGAAGAAAACCTCAAAACCCATCGTATTCCCCTATGACTTCACATCCACCTTCCGAAATTGATGGATTATCGATCACATCGTCAGTCGACTCCTCATCATGCATTATTACCGAAGATCATGCACTGGAAATTGCCACATGGGTCGATGAATGTCCCATAAGATATGCTCAGAATCCATATGACTTTAAATTGCTTCTTCGAGGCAGTCGAAATGGGTTTAAGCCGATTAATTTTTGGAACGCGTGTGACGAAAAATCCAATACCGTGATAATTATCAAAGTCAGTGGAACTGATGAAATTATTGGTGGTTATAATTCAATAGAGTGGCAAGAAAATAAGCGTAGATCGAATCAAAGTGCTACTTCAAGAAAAAATTTTTTATTTTCGTTGAAGAATGGAAACATTCGGGAAAGTATCTTGAGTCGAGTGAAATTCGATTATAATGCCATTACCTATCATTCCGAAAACGGTCCATGTTTTGGATTAAATGATTTGAAATTAAAAGGTCACTTTAAAAACGAGAAGAAATGTTCTTGTAGACCCAGTTCTTATGCAAAACCAATTAGAAGCACCAAGGATTATTTTTCTGTAGAAGAGTATGAAGTATTCGAATTAATCAAGAAAGATTTCTAGTGTC